TGGCACAACGCTCTTACCCACTAAGCTACCTGCCGCCCTAAATTCACACAGGACACCAGATAAGACAGGAGAATAACACCAGATATAACAGACTGACCCTAGCCCCCCGGCACATCGACTATTGCAGCATAGATACTGGAGGCTGAGACAGGGGGAGTCGGGAGACACTGTGGCCCCGTCCGACGATACCCCCGGACAGGGCCAACCAGGCAGGATATAACCCCACCCACTTTGCCAAAGCACAGCCCCCACACCACCAGAGGGATAACAACAGACCACCAACCTACTACCCTGAGACAAGGCTGAGTATAGGCCACCAACCTACTACCCTGAGACAAGGCTGAGTATAGACCACCAACCTACTACCCTGAGACAAGGCTGAGTATAGGCCACCAACCTACTACCCTGAGACAAGGCTGAGTATAGGCCATGAAGATCTCCTCCACTGCACGAGCCTGAGGGGGCTTGTGCAGTGAAATAGGCCTAAAAGAAAAGGGAATGTCTCCATTTATTCAAACAATGTAGGCAGCCTATTTGATAATAAGCGTGCCCTCATTTCAGCTTTCATTTCTACGCAAAAAGAGATAGGCCTACTCTTTACGGACTACTAAACCAGAGCAGCCGACAGTGCCATCGAGCACTTTTCTTTTCCAGCACCCGGATGCCCTCATTGCAAATACCCCATCATCATGGTATTCCATAGAGGATGTGTTCGATCAAACATACACTACCGGTCAAAAGTTTTAGAACACCTACTCATTCAAGGGTTTTTCTTTATTTTCTACTATTTTCTACATTGTAGAATAATAGTGAAGACATCAAAACTATGAAATAACACATATGGAATCATGTAGTAACCAAAAAAGTTTTAAACAAATGCAAATATGTTTTATATTTGAGATTCTTCAAATAGCCACGCTTTGCCTTGATGACAGCTTTGCACACTCTTGGCATTCGCTCAACCAGCTTCACCTGGAATGCTTTTCCAACAGTCTTGAAGGAGTTCCCACATATGCTGAGCACTTGTTGGCTGCTTTTCCTTCACTCTGCGGTCCGACTCATCCCAAACCATCTCAATTTGGTTGAGGTCGGGGGATTGTGGAGGCCAGGTCATCTGATGCAGCACTCCATCACTCTCCTTCTTGGTAAAATAGCCCTTACACAGCCTCGAGGTGTGTTGGGTCATTGTCCTGTTGAAAAACAAATGATAGTCCCACTAAGCCCAAACCAGACGGGATGGCGTATCGCTGCAGAATGCTGTGGTAGCCATGCTGGTTAAGTGTGCCTTGAATTCTAATAAAATCACAGACAGTGTCACCAGCAAAGCACCCCCACACCATAACACCTCCTCCTCCATGCTTTACAGTGGGAAATACACATGCGGAGATCATCCGTTCACCCACACCGCTTCTCACAAAGACACAGCGGTTGGAACCAAAAATCTCAAATTTGGACTCCAGACCAAAGGACACATTTCCACCAGTCTAATGTCCGTTGCTCGTGTTTCTTGGCCCAAGCAAGTCTCTTCTTCTTATTGGTGTCCTTTAGTAGTGGTTTCTTTGCAGCAATTCGACCATGAAGTCCTGATTCACACAGTCTCCTCTGAACAGTTGATGCTGAGATGTGTCTGATACTTGAACTCTGTGAAGCATTTATTTGGGCTGCAATTTCTGAGGCTGGTAACTCTAATGAACTTATCTTTTGCGGCAGAGGTAACTCTGGGTCTTCCATTCCTGTGGCGGTCCTCATGAGAGCCAGTTTCATCATAGCGCTTGATGGTTTTTGCGATTGCACTTGAAGAAACTTTCTAGGTTCTTGAAACTTTCCGTATTGACTGACCTTCATGTCTTAAAGTAATGATGGACTGTCATTTCTCTTTGCTTATTTGAGCTGTTCTTGCCATAATATGGACTTGGTCTTTTACCAAATAGGGCTATCTTCTGTATTTCTTCACTATTATTTTACAGCGTAGAAAATAGTAAAAATAAAGAAAAACCCTTGAATGAGTTGGTGTTCTAAAACTTTTGACCGGTAGTGTCCGTTGTTCCATTTATCTAATGACTTTACTTTTGGCACTATCTTAATTATGGCTGTGCGTTTTTTAATGGTTTTAGACCTATGGCAAAGAGGGCAATCGAAAGAAATGTGCAGTGCAATGGGCGAATGCCAGAGGCAGGTGCAACCAGATAAATATGGCTCTGGGTGCAACCAGCAATGTTTTGGATTTGAATTGCAAATATCTTTGAAGGTTTATGCACACATTTAATAAAAAATATGTTGTTGTTTTTGTGGTGGTATTTCTTAGATACTTCAAATGCAATCTTTTTTTTTACACTATCAAAGTATTTATGCAAAGCGCCAGAGGACAGGTGCAGAGATCATATATCAGATAGCCCTAAATTGAGTTTAAATAGCCTCATCTTTTCAACATAAATTGTTTAACTTTTTACTATTACACAGGAGTGCTTTGGAGTTGTGAATCAAGATGTTTATAATTAGATAGACTAAGAAATTGTATTTATTTAAATTATCTTACCAAATGTGCCTAAGGACTATACACTTAGAGTGGGAAAATCTCATTTTTGTTGAGAAGATTTGGAACCAACCTCTCCTCTCCTCGCCTCTCTGGCTGAAGCTGAAGTCTGTGGGTGCAATAGATTAAGAGGGCTCGCGAGGTTATTGTGGAAAGAAACATTCCCGTTATCATGAACACTTCTCTTTGCCTTACGAGGTTTTGCACTTAAATGGAGAGTCCTCTGTAAACGTACCCACTTGAGCCACGGTAGTAGGCCTACTTGCATACAGTAATCTGTTAGTTCTTGCGACCTGGCTGTAGTGTTTGTCAACATGATTTGAGCGGTTGTTCACTGAGTACCTTGTTGCACAGATCTGCGTTGTTCCCTGTTTGTTATAGGAGGATTATCAAACTATGTTTAAACAAAATTAGCCTTAAAAAATAATCGTCTTTCTCTTGATGTCTCAAGGGTGTGTTTTAGGTCTAAATGAGTCTACATTTAGTGTTGTCCATTCTGGGTTTTTTCACTAGACTTGTTTTTAGAGTTGTATTCAGTGCATAAAGATGCAATCTCTTTGTGGGTAAAGATTAAAGCGAAATGAAAGGCCACTATTTTGATATGCCATATTATCCAAATCATCTAGGTCAGCGACTCCGTTTGGTTACTGGAAACTAAAAGGGTTTTTAATTCGTTTTGGAAATGCACAAGTCATATTTCTGCTCACTATAAACATGGCGGGTGTTCGACGTAGAGCAGCGTAAGATAGTACTGCCCGCTTCCCATTCCATTCAAAACCATGACAACAAGGAACAAACTCGGATTTATTCTGGAAAGTTAAAGGATATTGTGGCAGGGCGTCAATCACCGTATCATTGCAGGACTGAACAATTGCAAAATCTTGACTGGAACAAATGCTTCCAACGGGTCTCGGACGCAGAGCTACATTTCCCTCCTTTGTTCTCGGCCTCTGGTTGGCATGTATTTTGTGTTCCCCCTCGGCCGACCACCCAGGACGACTTGAGATGGGAGGCTGAGGCATGTCCACTCTCCTCGCTAGGGCAGGTTCTGTCACCAAGGCAAGGTGCGCGGAGCAGAGCAGAGAGAGGATGGCATGGGAACTAGATGAAACTCCACGGACCTGCTTGTGCCTCGTGCACGTATATCTGAAGTGTGGGACGAGAGCCAATATTAGACCTCTCTTCAGTCTGAAGTACAGTTAAACACACTCTCCAAAACGAACGGAAAAAAGCAAGCATGCATTAAACGTTTATACCTCATCTTCCCCTTGCAGCACTCCTTACAGGTGCCCCCAGAATATGAATGCGTCTTCTGGTGATTTTTGATCACCTTTATCAGCTCCCTCATTATCTCCTATTTATATGTTTTTATAAGATATGTGTTTTGACTGGGGGTGAAGGACACCTGTTCCGCCATAGGGGTATAGCGTTCGACCTATCCAAGAATGGCGTGCCATATCTTGGAATCAGAAAAATCTTGATTCACAACTCCAAAGCACTCCTGTGATTCAAGTAGTCATCTCTAAAATAATACTAATACTAAAATACTAACATATTGTCTCAATTTACTTCACACTGTCCATATGGCTAGCCTCTTAGAAATCACGTCTGTCACAAGAGAAATTGCCATAATACGATTCTGTCTTCTCATTAGAAATTGGTAATTGTCTTCTCTCCATTTTGGAGTGTTGCGCTATGTGTAGCCTATACAGAAAAACGTATTTTTCTGGGGAAATTAGAATGATAGCAGAATAAGTTAAAATAAAATAGCCTAATATTCCATTATTTGAAGAAATTCCATTCCAAACAACATTTTCTTTAGAGGACAAAAATATACGTTTTATTTTTGTGTTATTTTGACATTATGTATTTTTATTTCAGGGACATGATATACAACATGATTGTTCAAGTCATTTCAAAATACCTGTAATGACTATAGGCTGCACAGCCATAAATAAATTAGTTAAACCAACTCAGGGACATCTTCACACTAATTGCTCACTTTGTATGCAAATATTGGACATGTTAATTTGACGGGGGGAGTGACGAAACTGGGCTCTGTTGTCACTTGCCACCCAAGATGTGATTCAGCTGCAACAATCACCATTATCTGGTCACCACTTTTAACGATACGGGACGAATCTGTAATGATAACAAGTGTTTCCTTCCGCCATTGTTGAGGCAACGGTGTTATTCTTCTGTGCGGGTTCACACCTACCATCATTGGATAACTGCACTCGAATCATTCAGGTACTTAGCGTCCTGGAGGAGGATATATAAGCGGGTGAAGTACTGTTTATACAAACACTGCACTGCCTCGTGTCCAAACACAGACAGGGTGTTCTAGGTCGTCTGTGACTCTGACAGCGCGTGCTTAGCCATTTCTTGATACATCGCTTTTACTCCTATACCAACGGTATCCTTTGGATAGTTTTTATGCACAAGGATTCTGTTTTTTCCGGAAGCAATGGCTGGTGCTGCAAAGTTCAGTTTTTCCGTGAGGAGCATCCTGGATTTGCCTGAGCATGACGCCGAGACAGTGCAGCCCTCCCCCGGTAACTCCTGCTCCAGCTCCCCTTACTCCTCCTGGATGGACAGCGACCGGAGCCTTTGTCTCTGTAAGTCCCCCTGGTTGACACGTGAGCATAGAAACAGATAACCACTTCATATTATCCATATAAACACATAACACATACTAGCTCTGACTTTGCTGATAACTATTTTATTGAGGAAAATTGTACTTACTATGACTGTGATGTGTGATTGTCCCACCTAGCTATCTTAAGATGAATGCACTAAATGTAACTCGCTGTGGATAAGAGCTTTTGCTAAATGACTAAAATGTACAAATGTAAATATGGGTCTTGCCTAAATTGACACAACTTCATATCATCCATTACTGCGATTTCCAACATGGCTGTTTTATGAACTCCAATTGGTATCCAATTAACGAGTAATTGTTGGATACATTTTATAAGGAGACTTGTAGTCTAATTCTAGTCTATTGAATCCTTCTGTTATTTAAAAATCTCTATATTCTGGTATTTCTGGTGATATTGTATACCGTGAGTTGTTTATATGGTTTATTGATCAGTGTAATAACAAAATGTTTAATTCCTCAGCTTCAGATGAGGGCAGCCTGGAGACCGCTCCAGACTCTACCAAGTCAGATGAGTCTTCTCCGGACTCTGAGGCCGAGAAGAAGAAGAAGTGCCGCGTGCTCTTCTCCAAGGCCCAGACCTTCGAGCTCGAGAGGCGTTTCCGTCAGCAGCGCTATCTGTCAGCACCAGAGCGCGAGCAGCTTGCCCATCTCCTCGGCCTGACGCCGACGCAGATTAAGATCTGGTTCCAGAACCACCGGTACAAAATGAAGAGGTCACGAGCAGAGGGAGCGTCACAAGACATAATCCAACCGCATATGTTGCGCAGAGTAGTGGTACCCATCCTAGTTCGGGATGGCAAGCCTTATCAGGCCTGTTTCATTGACACGGAGAAAGGAGGCTGTCTTGGACCGACCACATCCCCGAGTACACCCTTCAGTTTTGGGTACCAGTCTTTCCAGCATCCGTCGCCGTTCGCTCTACCTCAACAATACAAGCACCTTGCCAGCCCGGCTGCGTCCAGACACACCTTTGCTTGGAGAGACTTTCTGAACGATTCAGCTCAATTCAATTATTTTAAGTGACTATAAAATATCAACCAGAGGACTATGCGTAGAGGAACACTTATAACCACTTTAAATGTTTTCTGAATTCCCTTATTTTTCGAGGTACTTAAAAGTGTACTATTAAGTACAGTAATAATTTTTAATTCACATATTTTATTTTTGATATTTTATTAAATGTATTGAGTGATATTCTCGAAAGATAAAATTCGTTATTAGTGTATTGTAATCAGGTAGTAGGCCTATGGACATTCTACTCCTAGATTAGGTTTTGTTTCCCCAATTGGATAATGTGGTGTATGTAGGACTGATTTGTGTGTAGCCTATATTTTATCAGTATTTTCAATGTTCAGTTATTTGTATGAATTTCAAATCTACACCATGGCATTTGTCAAAAGTACTAGGACAGTAAAGGATTTCATTGATTTAAATATGACGTTTTTCACTTTTGTCTGAAAATGTTATTGAACAGAATCGTTATGTTGTTTGATAACATGTTTTGTGTTTTTATAGAATTACGAATACATAGTTTATCTTATACATTTTTGCACACAACGAAATGCATTGCAATAAAGCTATTTGGGGTATGTATTGAGAGGTACACCATCCGATAAGATAGATATAGGCCTATCAAACTCCTGACACTATTTAGGATTATAGCTTAAACATAGTTGCATCTTACCAGTGCGTGTTATTTTTTATCATTTTAGTAAAAAATAAGAGAAAGTCTTAGCTTAGAGGAACCTATAGGAATAAGAAACAAACACCAAGAAATGTGAGCTTTTATCATGTAAAAAGCTACCAAACCCTAAAGCTGAGCAAACACAATCACACTCTAAAGACTGGATGTCACTGAGCATAACAATACTTGGTAAACATTCGACTATTCAGCTCACCTCGCTCTCGTTCTAGTCATAGGACTCTCTCGTTCTCTCTTGAAACAAAACGCTAAAACAGAAAGTAGTTTTGGTCTAGGCTACAAACGTGCAAGCAACGTGAAGCATAAATTGATCACATCCATCACTCTGCAACAATAGTTTATAACGAGGTTTGCAAACCGTTTTTGCAATGTTATATGTACGTCATTAGAAAATAATAGGCAATGAAACCGAAGAAGGCCTAGGTCTAGGCCTGGACTGCATGGCGATGGGCCTATTTAAATAAGAAAATGTGTCAGTAATAATACGAACAACTTATATGGTAGGCTTTTTCAGGGTATTGCACTTTTATTTCATAATTGGTTATTTGTTGGTAGACATTCACATAAATATTAAATTATGATGGTCCCTTTAACTGGCCCTTCTCATGGGAAATTAGGAGTTCGATGCACGCTTTCATTGCTCCATAAAAATATAATTTTAGGAGGAGAAATCTAATGCTTTTAGGATTGGACCCATACACTGAAATATCAGATTTCATCTTCTGATACTTGATTCTAGAATCCATATTTGAAGCAGTCAAAGGTCCCGGACTCTGTGAGGGGGTAAAACACTTCACTTCATTCTCTCTCCGTCCTTTATTATTCCATTGATGGAAGTGAAATATGTCTGGGGGGTGACTGGAATGGAAGATGCGTTATTCTGTGGTAACATGGGTTATTTTTCACGCTTTCACGACCCCATGATGTTGTTTTCTCGTAGCGCATCGTCCCTGTCACCAGGTCTATTGTCCCTGGCGCTCGGGCCACCTTGCATCACATATGGAGGGGACTGACCGAACCCCTCCGCGCGATGCATCTCCCCTTAAACACTCTTTTTGTGTGGTTGTCTCTAGCTGAATGGACCATTGTCTGTCTTCCAAAAGGGACCTAGACAAAATCCTTAGTGTTTCAATTCTCGTGATGTTTAATCAGTGCCCGCGACAAATTTATGAGGTTTAACCGCACAATGGCGTTTTAGAACATGGCGGGTTTTAAGGCTGACAAAGACTGGCATTTAGGATGAGGTTGCCATTGGTTTTTAGAGTTGGGAAGAAGAACGACTTCTTTGAATAGGATGCTTGGTTAGATATTCCCCATGCATCCCTCCATCTCTTCTTCCCCTCTTCACTAGACTTTCCATTTCTGAATGCAAGTTAGTTCAAAATATAACAACATTGAAATTGGCAAACAAATGTATCAATCATAACTAAAAATATTGAATATGTTACCCTTGATTCTGTACTTTAAATCTGAGACTTTCGTTTGAAACCCATAATCAAATTATTGGCAGAATATCCTCTTTCATTTAATATTACAATAATAGATTTGTGGATCACCAGGATATTCATAAATGTTCTATTGTTTTCTTTCACGTTTTTCAGAAGGGGATAGAAACATCCAAGATCTTCTTGGCTCTTATTTAAACTACGTGTGTAGTGTTTCTCTATGGAGAAACAAATCTGCAACCTTGTGTGCAAAAAATTACAGGCCTAATGATCTGCACCTATGTTTGTTACACCCCAGCACCCAAGCTTCTAATCTTAGTAATGCTTCGTATTACGAAGATTCCCGGTTTTATTTGGAAACCCCAGTGTCTTTCATCAGAGATCATTTGAGGGTCATAAGGGTCATGTGACAATGGAGGGCAACTCTCACTCAACAGAGGCAATCAGAGGAGAAAGTCAGGGATGCCAAGCTAAAGTGGTAGTAAGTTGAATGCAGCTAACCGATGTCTTGATGATGGGTTTATTGAGTCTGGTGTTTTAGTGTGGACATGCAGGGTCCGAATTACATGCCGCACATAGACTCTTGAAATTCTCAAAATAGAACTATTAGAATTTTCATGAGATAAAAATGAAATTATTTTAAAAAATCTATGAGGACAAGAATGTAACACTAACATTCGATTAGGGTAGGATTGCCATTTTATGACCCTTCGTGGAGTTCAGCAGGAGCTCCAGATGTTGTCAAAGGCTCTTGGTCTGGGCCTTGGTGAGGCGTGTCTTTAGTCGCATCAAGGACCCCATCTTCAGGTGAAGGGGTGAACTGATTCGGAGAGACGTTTCCCACTGAAATGCATGCAACCATTCAAGCAATTGGTGGTGCCACAGTCACTTGTTTTGACGGTAGGCCTACAGCTGGAGGCTTGTTGATGGGTCCTTCTATCTGGGATCCTTGGGACGTCCCAACTCTGACGTTGACATTTAAAATGGTTAAGGTTAGGACATCCCAAGGATTCCGGATAGCATTAACGATGTGGGTCGGCTATACCACCGCTAGATGGCAGGATAACACATTATATAGATTTTTCCATCAGCTGGCGTTCTCCTTCAACACATGTATGTAGAGCATCATATAATTAATTTAAGATTTACGTCATTTAGCAGACGCTCTTATTTACATTTAAGTCATTTAGTAGACGCTCTTATCCAGAGCGACTTACAGTTAGTGAATGCATACATTTTTTTTTTTTTTATATTGGTCCCCCGTGGGAATCGAACCCGTTTCACTATTGGATCCTCCTAAATGACCACGTTTACATGCACACAGTATTCCGGATAGTAGCTCTAATAAACGAAAAAACATTTCCTCAAAATAAAAAAAGAATACAATTGTTTTATTCCGATTTTCCAGGGCCTTCTGCTACTTCTCCCGGCTATGACTACGGGCCTATAACCTCTCACATGGAGCTTAATATAATATGAACTCTTGCAGAATTAGGCTATGCATTTCTTGCAGTGAAATTATGCAACAAATGTTAATTTTGTCTCTGGAACAGGAGCGGAGAAATATGATTTATTTATTTCAGCAGCTCTCGAGAAAATGCGACTGCGCATGTAATGTATTTGGGATTAGGATGCCCATTAGCTGTTGCGAAAGCCGCAGCTACTCTTCCTGGGGTCCACACAGAACATGAAACATGACATAATACAGAACATTAATAGACAGGAACAGCTCAAGGACTGAACTACATGCATTTTGTTATCTTTGACACTGTTATGCAAGCAGACAGTATTTCAACCACATTAAATATGCACCCAAGACAAACTGAAGTCTTATCATAAACATGATTCGTGGTTTTCTCAGCTTTTCATTTCCTTAAAACTGGTCAAACGGATGACATTTGGACATTTTGCATAGGACCTATCTTTCCACTGGTTTGGAGTGATTGCGTTTTCTCTCCGGTCCCTAAACAAAACAGACAACTTTACTAATGTTAACTACATTACTAATACTTTAATTCTATTGATGTAAGACATTATTCTGGTGAGCACTACTTTATTTAGTCTTCTGGGGCAACAAGTTATGTATCAAACTACAGTTGACAACCAAATGTCGGAAATTATAATATGGCCTACCAAATGTAAGAAATTATAAGCAGAAACTTGTCTAAATTAGGGGTGAAAGTTGCCAGTAGTAAATTATAGTAAAATAATTATAGTAGACTAAATTATTATGGAATTATTATGGTGGATCGAACTCCACAGGTAGCCTACTTTTTGAAGTGATTTGTTTGACAATCAGATAAAACCATCATCACACAACACCCATGATATGTGAAACTGAGCCTGCGCAGACCGCAAAAACAACACTAAACGGGATAAGATGTTTACATGCCACAGTATCCCATCTTAGATCAGCATATCCCAGGCATCTTATACGGGTTTCTCATAACCGGGATACAAGCTTTTTCGGGTTATTGTAAACGGGATATGATGTTTATATGCGTCAACTCAAAAACAGAATACTTTATTTAACCAGGTAAGCCAGTTGAGAACAAGTTCTCATTTACAACTGCGACCTGGCCAAGAGTATCCCGAATAATAACGGGATATCGGTGTGCATGTAAACGTTGTCAATGATCGTCAAACCTGATCCGTAGGTCTATAAGCCTGTGTGCTATTTCCCTTCTTGGTATTGTTTTCAGTAGTATGACGCCCCATGAACGATCAGTTCCAAAACAACAATGTGAACAAGGAACAAAGGTTTGGTGCCCCCTCCACGCCCCACTTCAAAGTCTGCTCATTATTCCAGAGGAATTAGCGCGAGCATTTTGGACTAATTAACGTTAATTGACCATAATAGCCGTGTTCCAGAACAGAAAAGATGTCCTGATTTAGATCATTAAGAAAGCCTTTTGGAATTCAGCAATTAAGGAAGGCATATATCCCAGAGGAAACGCGTTATGATGCTAATTTCCCGTAATTGCATGTAGGCCTCCTACGTGGAGCAGCTGAAGTATCACTTTAAAGTGCGCTCACCTGTCTACGATAAATTATTTATTGAGAGCACCTACGGGATATGAGATTATTGTTTCTTGTAAAATGCGGTTCTCCTTGATAATATTGGTGAAGACGTGCGCTATGGCAATGGATGTTGTTGCCTACAGTGCCATAGAGGGGATGTTGATATTGGGATGAATTTGATGAATGCGTGGTATACGTGTAGATTAGTTATGTAACCAATTGCAGTGGAAACTGTTTTGTGTTGCTGTGGTTCACTTTAGGTAGAATCCTCTGTGGTCCTCTGTAGCTCAATTGGTAGAGCATGGCGCTTGTAACGCCAGGGTAGTGGGTTCGATCCCCAGGACCACCCATACGTAAAAATTTATGCACACATGACTGTAAGTCGCTTTGGATAAAAGCATCTGCTAAATGGCATATTATTGATATGTACGTGCTTAATTTGGTTTTTAAGCATTGATATCAATGAGCGATTTGTGCGCAAAAGTGGTACTATGCACGATTCTCCTCAGTTTGCAGTAAGCAAACCAAGAGGGAGAATCACAATATTCACCTTTGTTTCCTTTACTGTGATATCTTATTATTTCCATTCAACAGTATGCGAAATGGCTCAATGCAATGCAACAAGAAATTACACCCTCCGTCTAAACACTTTGGTTTGTTAGAAATAGATGCGACCATGTTTTTCAAAATTGTGATAAAAACTAGACTAAACTGTGTAAAGTTGACACGATAATAGACATTCAATACTTCGGTTTATTTCCCATCATCGCCACCAGAAGACGCTGTCTTGCTGTCTTTCTTAAATCCAATGTATGTCCTGGACCACGATATCGAAAATATTTACATCACATTCACATTTACATAATTTAGGCTTGCATTCTAATCAACAAGGGACTGTTCTGCTTTCCTGCATTAATCGATGTGTTCTGTTCGACATTACATCAAGGAACGTTTTGTTGTCGTTTTATAAAGACGGAGATTTTACTCCAGAGTGCACTGCAGTAAGGACAAAGCACTGACACAAGGACTGCAATATATAACTATTACCACATCTGTCATTTCCTAAATATCTTGGAAATTACACTTTTTATCTGGTATTTATAAGGTAGGCCTAAATAGCAATATCAGATGTATTGCCTTTGCACTCCGAAATGTGCACCTACAAAGTGTACATCCATCCAACATCATATCCTATCATACCATATTTCATATTTATCCTAACCAATGAATTTCCACAACAGCATGCCGGCTTAAGCAGGGTCGACGGGTAGCTCTATAGGCCATGCATGCCCTGACTGTCTACCCATTCAGGTTGAAAAGCCTATTGAAGATGAGGATCACAACGCAAACACATTTACATTTTAGTCATTTAGCAGACGCTCTTATCCAGAGCGACTTACAGTTAGTGAGTGCATACACCGTTCCAGTAATGATAATGACGTTATTATTAGTAGCCTATCGTAAAAGTAGCTAATATATTAGTAATAGTGATAACCATATTTTTACTATTAGTATTGTTATTGTTGTATACAGTAAAGTAGGATACTTGTTCATATAATTTCATAATAATTGTTACAATAGCCATAACAATTATAATAGTTATTATTATTCATAGTGGGTGAGTTAGGTGAGTTGTGTATATTGTGGTGTCAAGTGATAAAAGTGTATCTACTCCCTGTAGCTATATACGTTTAGTTTTTCTACTTTCGTTTTTTATCATTTTGTTTTTCCTTACTTAAATAATAAATATGAAAAAAGCATGTATTTGGTCATCTTACTGACATAATAATACAGCAACCAAAAGCAGGAGAGACATTACTGAAGTCACAACAAAAACTAAAACAAACAGTCAGTACATACAAACTGGGTCTGTTGTTATTATTATCATTATTATTATTATTGGAATTAGAATTAGAATTATTGTTCTTATATTTCACCTACATAAATGTTCAATGTCCTCAACAATGCAAAATTAGCTACAATTAGCCTATTTCTTTCAATTAATTTTGATATAACATTTTTGTCATACTCCTTGAATAAAGAGAGCAAAATACTGAACAAAATACTGATTATAGCGCCTGTAACTGGAACTACAGCAAATAGCAAATATTCCTTCCTTTGACATGAAAATCGTTTACCAATATTCAAATTACGAGCACATAGATTTAGGACATGCCCGGATTGCGGCCTCGCCCTGTGGTATTATAACATTTCATTGGAAAGGTGAAGGGAAAACAAAGCGCATTTGACTTTTACGCAGCCAAGAGAAACCTGATTGAGTTAGATAATGATGGTTCCTTGAGCATCAGGGCGAGAGGCGGCTCACTGAGGAGGGCTACCTGGCGTGGTGTGGTTCTCCCTCTCTGCCTGCTTACTGCTGCAGAAGAAGAGTAGGCCTAGATGTAGGCTACTTAAGTTGAGCGCCGTTAACTTTACCTTAGAGTCTCTCCTGAAACGCATTTTATTTTGACTGGCTGCATGGGGTTCTGATCTGAGACGACGAGTGGAGCATCTGAATTTGGATTTGGGGAGACACGCTGCTCTCACAGCTCTCTCTCTCTCCTCGAGCCCAAACAATGATATAAAATAGGAAAGGGGTTAATCATTCACGCGCTGCCACTTAACACGCGGATGTGTATTTATTTACTTATCCGTCAATTTCCTTCCCAAGTGCACTTTTACATGTCTGAGTACGATGCGAGCATAATGCAAAAACAAGTCTGCAATCAACCAGAAGCCTCTTACGCCCATTAAAAGTCACTAGTTGAAGCTTTTCTCAGAGAACAGAGGAAGTGTCCTAAATGACATCCCTATATAGCGCATTACTTTTGACCAGCAATTGTGAAACATTATCAAAAGTAGTGCACTAAATAGGGAATAGGCTGTCATTTGGTAAGCATGCAGAGTGGGTTCTCCAGCTCTGAGACTCTCAAGTCCGTCTAGGCCCCTTTTCATCAAGAGGTCCTAGTAAACACCACTACAGTTAATAAAATGCGGTGCCTGTGCCCACTGCTACCATTACTGTCAACGACAACACACAAACGACAGTATATATAACCCACCGACCTACTGCTACTACAGTAGCCTGCTATCAATAGCCTATAATACACATGTATATACATGCACGTTGGTTATGGATTTGTGGGAGTGGAGCAACAGCAGAGCTCATGCTGTAGCTTGCCCAACACGTAAGTCAAATTATGACTTGGGTGCAATGAGAGGAGGATAGAGCTGCGTTGTATTGTTGCCCTAGTTGGTGATGCCCCGCCTCTGGCTTAAACCTGGCACCCTGCTAAAACAAACGAAAGCCAGCAGCACCAAGCTCAGCCCAGCTCAACTCAGCTCCCACTCAATGCAATTAAGGCGGACTTCAGGCGACTCTCCTACCTACGTGTTCATCTAGCAAAGATCGACGTTGAGACAACAGGAACCAGAGAGAGAGAGGGGCTTTGGTCCAAAAAAAAAAACAGAAGGAGAGATTGCCTAGCCTTCTAATTTCTCCCCTCTCCAACAGCCCAAGAACAATGTCGATGAGCCCTAGGCATACGACTCCTTTTTCTGTTTCCGATATATTGAGTCCTCTTGAGGAGAGCTACAAGAAAGTAAGTATGGAGAATAACAACTTGGGGTTACCTCTCGCGTCGTACCGGCAGCCGCAGGTGTCTCAGGCGGCCATGCAGCAGCACCACATGGGCCATAACGGGACGGTGTCCGCCGCCTACCACATGACGGCGACGGGGGTGTCCCAGCTGTCACACACCGCGATGGGGGGCTACTGTAACGGCAACCTGGGGAACATGAGCGACCTGACGCCCTACCAGGACGGTATGAGAGGCAGCGCCACGGCCACCGGCTGGTACGGAGCCAACACAGACCCGCGATTCTCCACGAGTAAGTAGGCTATACCTTTGAGTTTTACTCTGCATGAAGCCGGGCAGGTGAGCGTATAGCTTTTGGTAGCGCATTATCATATAAGCTAGTCTACACTAGAGCCATATGCTCTGGTCTGCACTGAAGTGAGTCAGGGAAATTATTTAAACTTTTTAGTGTTGTTTTCAGTTATTTTTTGCAAGAATACTGATGTTGTTTCAACAAGAGGGGGTGATTTGATTTGTCAATTTAAAATAAATGTTACACCCGGTAACAGATACATATAGGCCTTTATCTCGGTTTACCTTGGAGTGTTTGGTTTATTGAGTTTATTCACCCAACGTGCTGTGCCTTTTTGCCAGTCTACCAACACTACCATGTTGACCAATGGATAGGGGACTGGTTTCAAAGAACGCTAATTAATTGTAAACTTTTTCAGTTTATGATATATTCATAAAAATGTATTTTAATGTCACGAGGGTGTGCGAAAATATAACAAAGACAGCTGTTGCTGGTTTGTCCTCTATTATGAGTTGGTTCCATGCACGTGTCACGTGGGGGGGTGAATGAGTTATTAGCCTATTATTCTTTAGATTGAAGGTCAATTCATGGCAATCGATCATGCTACATCAAATATTTTGTCAACTATATAATTCAGTTCAAATACAAATTATGGTTAAGTAATTGTTCCATTAGGAGACAGAACTATGATTAACATGATCATGTTAGCTTTTATGTTTAAAATGAATGCTATATGCCTATACGTTTTAAATTAAATTAATTCACATTGTGTATTTTTATGTTATGGCTAAAATGATTGAAGCAGTATAATTGTTTTATTATTATCATTATTATCATAATCATCTCAATTGCCTATTTCTGCTTTCAGTCTCGCGCTTCATGGGCTCTTCTTCGGGCATGAACATGGGCAGTATGGGCAGCCTTGGCTCGCTAGTGGACGTGGGCAAAGGCATGGGCCCTCTCTCGAGCACCCCGAGAAGGAAGAGGCGCGTGCTGTTCTCTCAGGCTCAGGTCTACGAGCTCGAGCGGCGATTCAAACAACAGAAGTACCTCTCCGCGCCTGAGAGAGAACATCTGGCGAGCATGATCCACCTCACCCCGACCCAGGTCAAAATCTGGTTTCAGAATCACCGGTATAAAATGAAGAGGCAAGCGAAGGACAAAGTGTCGCAGCAGCAGATGCAACAGGAGAGTAGTTCCTGTCATCAGCATTCCCCTCGGCGGGTTGCCGTGCCTGTATTAGTGAAAGATGGCAAGCCATGCCAAGGCAGTGCCCACACTCCCACCACTACTGTCCAGGCCCCCCACCAACAAGGTGCCAATGTTATGATCATGTCCAGTAACGGTTCAGGCCTAGGTCAGCACCAGAGCCAACAGGTGGGTAGTGCAGGTCACTCTCCAGACCTAGCACATCACTCCGCCAGCCCGCCGTCTCTCCAGACCCAGGTAGCGGGCCTCTCTCACCTGAACTCCTCCAGCGCCGAGTACGGGACGGCCCTGCAGTGCTCTGCTCTGTTATATGGCAGGACATGGTGATCTGTTATGCCGCAGGACATGGTGATCTGATATATGGCAGGACATGGTGACAGCCAGACAAACTATGATCACAAACACACATACAACACTTTTGCAGCAAAGTCACTCAACAGACAAACAAACAAACAAACTGTACTTTGTGTACATTTTGAACAACACCATTTGGTGCATTTTAGTTAATGCTCTTCTTCTAAAATGTAATTGGATATGCGGACAGCAAGAGGGAAGAAAGAAACTCGACAGACGAAGTTATGAGGATGTGCGAGTTCAATCTTCGCTTTGAAGGTGGATTTGTTATTTATGTAAATTATACTGAAGCTATACAAGGCTAGTCCTACATCAATAGGTCATAGACCTACTCCTGTGTGTAGGTCATTGGGATAAAGATCTCAATAGAAAAACTGTGGGAGCGTTTCCATTTTTTTCACAGAAGGCTCTGGTTTCTAATAGAATTTAAAGTAAAACGTAGCTTGTATATTTCTGTAAAAGGTTTGAATTGAATATATAGTTTTTAGCAATCTGTTGTACAAAGTTTTTATCGCTATTGACGGTTTGTGGTTGGTTCTTTGAGTTCCATCGGTATTTGTACGTTTTATTTACTTGTAACTTATATAGATAGATATTACTTAAATACAGCCAAACAATCCTATTAATAAATTATGGAAATAAAATTCATTCAGATCCATTTATTGAAATTGATTTGTATACTGTTTCAGAGAATACATAGGCCTACGAGAAACCTTGTGAAATTATTTTCAGAAAACGAATAGGCCTATAGGCCTTTAACTGTAGTACATTAATATTATTATTATAATTATTATATTTATTATAGTAGTAGTAGTAGTAGTAATAATAATAATAAAGATGATGATGATAATTAATTTAATAATGCATGATATTGTCTATAGGCCACATTTGTTGGTCAACTCAGTAGGCCTCAATTTAGACCAAAATTATTTTTGCTGTCTTACTATGTTAACTGCACACAACAATGGATTTTAAGCAATGCATGACTAATGAAAGACTGTTCTTTGACCAGGTGTGATCGAAATCGTTGTTACTAAGTGTTGTATCAATGGATAATGGTGTACACACTATATCACTTGGATCAAGCTGAGTAAACTCAGGCCAGGCCTTTGTGTGCCATCGGCGTCCCTTAGGTTCTAGCGTTCTTGCATTCTCGGCCGCGCGCCTGTTACTGTTTCTGGTTTGGGTGAGTCAGTTAGGTGAGGTTTCGAGGCGTTCTTTTTAACAGTGGAGATCAAACACGCACTGACTCAAATAACGTTTTATCGACCAAATCCCTGGCCAAACAACGGTATTCTTCTCAAATAACTTCGCACGACAAATTCTCTTCTCTTCTTATCAGAGGTAAGCCTACGTTTATCAATAATCAATCAACTGCGATTGAAAGGAAAATAGCGTAGGCTACCCACCACCATCCACTGTTTACGTATTGATAAGGTATTGATAAGTTGCTTTTAACTATATCTTTGCACAAAAACTTTGGATAGGCCCTACCAATTTTACTCCATTGTTCTGAATCCATAGTTTATAGGCTACGTCTTGGTCACTATTTCTTTACAGCCTACTTAAGTCCAAATATCATTTTTTTTGCAAACTTGAACATAGGCATGTTGTAGAAGAGTAACACGATTCTAAATGCAATGACATAGCCTGCAGTCTTTCATTTTAGAAGTTGAATATAATTTGCTTATATCAAGTGGGATGGAGTCTTCAATCTAGGCCTATCAAATAAGATATTATTTTGACTGAGGATGGCCCATGGCTCGTCAAGGTATCATTTGCATGCAGTGGGGCAGAGATTTTGTGGTTCTTAATTGATTCGAGAAGGTTTTAACATATAAATGGTACATTTCACATGAATTGTGTGAGACGGACCCTATATGTCCATAGTGTGGGAGGAGCTGTGTGTTCTTGTAAATTAGCTGTAATGTAAAAGACTTGCAACTATTTTGATAGTATGATATTATACACTGAGTATACAAAACATTAAGAACACCTGCTTTTTCCATGACATAGACTGAACCAGGTGAATACAGGTGAAAGCTATGATCCCGTATTGATGTCACTTGTTAAATCCACTTCAATCCGTGTAGATGAAGGAGAGGAGACAGGTTAAAGAAGGACTTTTAAGCCTTGAGACAATTGAGACATGGATTGTGTATGTGTGCCATTCAGAGCGTGAATGGGCAAGACAAAACGGGGTATGGTAGTAGGTGCCAGGCGCACCGGTTTGTGTCAAGAACTGCAACGCTGCTAGGTTTTTCACGCTCAACAGTTTCCCGTGTGTATCAAGAATGGTCCACCACCAAAAGGACATCCAGCCATCTTGACACAACTGTGGGAAGCATTGGAACGCTTTCGACACCTTGTCCATGCCCTGACGAATTGAGGCTGTTCTGAGGGCAAAAGGGAGGTGCAACTCAATATTAGGAAGGTGTTCCTAATGTTTGGTATACTAATTATTATTATTATTATTGTTATTATTATTATTATTATTATTATTATTATTATTATTATATTACTGTGATATTATGGGAATTGCAAATATTGTGTAGTCTTTATAATTAGGCTTTACATGAATAGCCATATGTGCTCCTTCCTAAGTCTGCAAAATATAAGCTATTGAACAAAGATCAAAAGGGCTATCTCAAAATAATTTAGTCTTAACTGCACTGGGCCCCTAAATACTGTAATTATTTCAGTACGAATGTGATGCACACGGCTACACTATATTCGTGCTCTTTATTTTATGCGTTAGGCCCACTTATGACATTATATTTACGTTATGATCTTTCGCATATTTATGCTATAAACAGATGTGACAGAAATCATGAGGAGCCTGTTCTTAGTATTTTCAGCGTCCAAGAAAGTAAAATACAATTATCAGAAGGCTGCCGCAATCATTTTCGTAGGGTAAGCAGCAAATTGTACACACATTTGAAGAGCTATATCAAACTCTTCTCAAACTCTTCTATCATGTGGAGAGAAGTAGTAAACTCGGTTATTATGTTTTAATGAGCTTTCAAGCAAGCAAACATCATCAGCATTTCAGACTCATGCCAACCAATGGTAAATTTTAGTCCAAGCCTACATGTTCATTTACTGTGCATTTGACCTAAAGGAAATATGAAACCTAATATTTTCAGATTGTGTATCGTTATCTCAAATTATTTTGTGCAGCTTGTTCATGAAAAAAAGAATTGACTTTCAATATAGCTTATTGATTTGGATAAGACTTTAAGGGCCCAGGTGGTTCTGTGCAATGCCTGTTCTGGCTACATTGTAGCGTGGGGTTAGTATGGCAAGTCATTGTTGGAAGCACGCCCTTGATCGCCATCTTTTTTTTTTTTTTTTTTGCGCGAGCTTTTGTCGAGGGGAGGTGAATAGTAGCGTCCCATTACAACGGCTGCACCATTATGGCACAGGTGCAGTTATGTTGCCCTGGCTGTAACCACAGGTCGCTGGTATCTATATATTGGCTCCGTTACAGACGTCATTGCATGGCATTTCAATCTTAACCTATCAACACCGTTCACTTTATCTCCCTAAATATAGTTTTGAATAAGCATTATTTTTTGAGGTTTTAGACTAAGACTGAAATACCAATCGAAATTCAGAAATGGGCAACGCAATTAACAGTGCACAGACGTCCAGTTTACTGTGGAGACTTTGCTCCATATAGCACAGCAGGATTTGAAAGAGGCACTGATTGTAATGGCTCTCTACTTTTCATTTATAAGAGTCATTAAATCAATCAATAGAGCTTTTCGTCGATTATTCTCTATATAAATGATATTGTCCAGTCTCTGCAGGTCCTATTTGCTCTACATGTGATGTTTGATATTATATCTTGCAACCTCTAGCCCCCAGAATTGTCCTTCCCCAATAGGCTCCCTATCTACAAGCTGTAGATGAGAGCATCTTTGTGCAGTGGCTGGCTGTGGCTGCCTCCCAGGAATGTATAAAGCACACAAGACGCATTTTCAACCCACCTGCCGTTTTAGCCTAAACGTGCTTAATGGGTAAAAGCAGAACTTGGGGTTTTCTGCAAACGAATGAAGTTTGCTTTTTTTTACAATCCATCCATTTACCAATATTTTCATTATTTAGGTTAATTAACATTGTAGGCTATCAATACTTGATTGGTTATAATTGTATTGAGTTAATACATGCCAATGTATTGTCCATTTCAATACATTATTTGATAGAGCTACTATTCAGTGATCACACTGGAGCACTCTTACAAAGGATTTGACACAATTATCGCCTATCCCATAATGGAATTTAAGTTGGCTGACCTTTTGCACTGTTCATTTAGAGGGAAGTCTGAATATTTCACAAATACTTACACTGATTTATGATTATAGCCCTAAAAAAAGTAAATCCCCACATTTCCATAACTTCTTCAACTTTCAAAGAGATGAAATCCTCTGTCCCTCTTTTTATTGTGATCTGGTACTATAGTTCTAAAGTCCTACCATTTACCTAAAACTTTAACTTAGTGACAATTCGGGACATTTTCAAACGACATCTTTGCAGCAGCAGCAGATAGAACAGAACCGCGTTGTATTAGGTATTTGTTGGTGTGCTTTTGTTTTGTTCACGAAGAGCCCCAAGAGGCTCAGGCTACATTACCATGTCTGTGGCACGGTGTGTGGTCTTTGTGTTGGGCTTGTAGCTGTTTAGAATGACTTGTTGGAAGCGTGTGTGCTCTCATCGCTCTCTTTAAGGCTTGTCTTTAGACGGTCACATTGTACAACTCCGGCAAGTCCTCCTGGCTTTATCATCCCAAGATCTCCATCAACCCAAAAGCAATTAGTTCCTAATCTCAAGGCAATCATACACTATATATACAAAAGTATGTGGACACCCCTTCAAATTAGTTGATTCTGCTATTTTAGCCACATCCGTTGCTGACAGGTGTATAAAATCGAGCACACCGCCATGCAATCTCCACAGACAAACATTGGCAG